AAAATTAGAACTCGTGAGGAAAGAGAGAATATGTCAAACTCCATAAAAACGGATTAGCAAAATATCTGCCATGCTTTGTTAAATAACAAAAATATATATCAAGCTTACTGATGAAACATTAATAAATATGTAATTTATTTAACATCAAAATCTCACGGGGATAAGACAATACAATTTTTATTGGAGAGCATGGAGACGATGATTAAAATAGAGAAAGCCGTCAAGAAAATACAGATCATATCTAAAAGAATACGTGTAACAGTAATTATAATACAAACAGAAAATTGTTCTGATTAGTTTGTAATCAGAAATGTATAACAAATTTCAGTATAATTAAGATTTTACCTTCTGAACAAAACAAATCTCAGAGTTCATGCAATTCCTTCTATATGCTTAATTTGAACTAGAACCTGCTGCGCAAGAAGCTTTTGTGTTATTGTCTCTCAAAAGACCTTCCCCTTCTGTGCCTGTTAAAGGCTGATCATTGGATCCCTGAACTGAACCATCCTCTAAATTAGTTGGAGCTGAACTGTTGTTGTTTCTATTACCCTCTCTGGTCTCCAGACGTTCCATCATGCGTGACATAGTTGCAATCCCTGCATTAACTTCTCGCCTAACTTCAGATCCAATATCAGACATGGAGGGGTTACGGGAGAACCATCTCTCCTTCCACCCTCTTGTACTCTTGGAAATTGACTCCTTGTATCTGAAAGACAGGAAAAGAAATGTTCAAGTTACAGTGGGAGAAGTCCAGAAATGTACTGTAACACCCACATGCTGCATAGGATCTACCTTGTTGACACAGCACTCAGTTTAGATTTCAGAGATTCTGAAAATGACTGGAATTCTGATGGCCCTGCTCTGTCTTGGCTACTTGGAGATGACTGATTAGGAGATCTCCTGTATGATTCAGGCAAAACAGTTGAGAACTTGAAAAGCTAGAATACTAGACAATTAAAAATTTATAAACATTTAAAAATGATCCAAAAATGAAAAATGATAATTACCTATTGTTGTAAGATGATCCCTGATGATCTGTAGCAAGAGCAGTAGATCCAGATCCAGACCCTGAAACCTGATCTACTTGAACAGAAGGAACTAAAGTCAGCTGTGATGATTCTTCTCCAGTTGCAGGAGTTGGAGACATATTCGCAACAGCAATTGTTGGAGTCGGTTGTTCATCATCCCCCCTCTGAGATGGAGAGGAAGAAGCAGGAGCCCTGGGAGGTGAATTAGGATGAGTTGAAAAAACCAAAAAATGTGGGCGACCTTGAGCTGATGACCTGTTTCTCTGGCCTTCCCTTCTAGCAATGTGGCGTGCTCTTCCCATTGCTGCTGCAGCAGCTAAGTGTTGGATTATACGCTCTTCAAGATCTGCGTCACTAGCTCCAACTGGCAACTGCAGGAGAACTTAAAAATCACATAATGCATAATAAAGGTACAAAATGCTTCCAAACTAGCATAAGTAGACTACAAACATGTTGTAACTCAAAATCCCCCAGTGCTGGATGATGAAATATCGTGGCATTTCTAGATGGATTGAACCTAAAGTTTCTCTCTCTTTCCACTGCCTCAAGCAGTTCTTGGCTGCATTTACAAAAAAAAAGCATGTAAATAAACCTTGAAAACAAATAATGACAGCAGTAGAAGAATAAAAGAAACAATAATAAAGAACATAGAGAAAACTACAAACCTTGTTGGATCTTTGAGACTGATAGGTTGCCAACACATGGGACACTGAGAGCTTCTCTGACACCTACAAGATAAAAGTTAAAATTCAATACAAAGTCTATTCTCCAAACATTGTCAAGTGATTTAGACAAAATTGATTATGGCTGCTGGCACAGAATTAGCCACAACTTCTTCCCTGGATACCATCATTGCTTTTTTCTCCAGGAAAAGTTCATGAAGTTATAAAATGTTTAACCACAAGACAAAGAAGAAATCCAAAATATGTGTATCACATATTTGTGACTCCCAACAGGAGCATGTTAGCAAATGAATGTCCATATCTACAGACATCAAATCAGAGAATCAATACTCAACAGCATAAAACAAATGCAACATTAACTCATCAAACACATACTGGAAGACTGTCTTAAACATTTTGTTTATTTAGATAAACAATTCACTTGGAAAGCAATGAATTGACCAAGCAGCTGAGCAAGTTTACATGGAAAAGGGGCCCAATGCTCAAATTCTGATTATAGAAAGCTACTAATAATTTGCTGTTATTAGCTGGATATTTTTTTAAAGATATCCAAATGTTGGCAACCATATTTATCACAGTATAAAAACAGAATGTAAACTTATGAAGTTTAGGCCCCACTGGTTTGTAGTTTATAAAGTTTGTTGGGCATGAAAACTGATATTCTGAGAACCTTGAATAACTAGATATCGATACAGTGCCTCAAACAATGATGATATAATGACTTCAGGGAACAACCTGAGAACCATTGGCCATGACATACTCGAGCACTGGGACTTTTATACCTGCATACTCATTTTATTTATTTATTTACTAAACGCAAGGCCAGTGAAAGTAGGACTCCACAACCGTGAATGCTTCCTTTTAACTTCTTCAGTCCCATGAATTAAATTCATCATACTCTCTATTTCAGCTGGTAGAGATAGCTTATTTTATATAGGGCTTTAGTTTTATTTTATCTTTAGTCAACAGAGACATGGTTTCCTCCAAAACACATTTATAAAAACCTTTATCAAAGAACCCTTTTTAAAGCATATCATACTGCCATATAATTATGTTACTTTAGGAAAACACATCAGTAACCAAGAAACACTGCAGCACTCTAAAACAGTAGCAGTACAGCGCAATAATAATAAGCAAGCAAAACACCCATCAATACCAATATAGTACAGTCCAGCACCACCAAAATTAATCCCAATATCGACTCAAAATATTCGATTAACGAAAGCCAATTCATCAATACCATTCCAGAATGCACTGAAGATGAAACTCATGCTTGCAACTAGTCACCTGCAAGAAGGGTACAAGAGTAGCATGATCAACAGGGTTGACACTTGACACACAGTCATCATAACTACCATAACATAACATCTATAAATCAAAACCTAGAAATCCATACCGTGGAAGGATCACTGTCACAGAAAGCTTCAAGGCATATGCTGCAAGCATCATCACACGCGTCCTGAATCCCACCCTCCACAAAAGCAGCGGCGGAAGTCAAATGCGCCTCAGACTTATTAGTAGTGTTATCATCATTAACAATATTATTCTCTTCCACCACAGCACCCTACAAAACAAACACCGCACTGAAATCAACACAAACAGACAAGAAAAAAAAAATCCCAATCGAATCGAGACACACCGATCGGAACGCAACAATAAATCAATCAAACAACCCCTGGCGGGGAATCAGATCGAATAGAGAATCTCGGGCGAAACAAATTCCCTAAAGGAAAACGAAAAGGCGTGGAATAAAAGAGGGGAAAATTGCAGTGCGCGGCGGAGTAATCGAAAGGGTGTTACCTCCATGGAGAATTGGGCGATGAGGTTGCGAAATCGAGATGCGAGGGAAGGAAACCCTAACGGGAGGGAAGGGATTAGAGAGAGAGAGAGAGAGAGAGAGTTTTCTACGGTGCGGTGTGGACTGAGTGTGTGGGTGCAGGCAAAGCATTCCTTTATGTTATGTTTTACCTTTTGGAAGAAACCAACCACGGAGTCAGCTAACCTTACCTTAGCTACTAGCTCGGTCTTCGTCCTCCACTCTCTGTGATTCCGACACGTGTCATTCTCAAGGAATCTCTTTCACCAGTCTTTCACCTTACGCGTCACTCTCGTATGGGCTAGATCATCAACTTGTACCACCACATATGTACGTGGAAGGTGGAATCATCAACCATTACATAATAATAATAATAATAATAATTTTTATTTATTCTAATAATTGTTTCGCTTAACAACTCGATAAGTCGTTCAAATAAAGATTATCTTGTACTTTTTACATTGTTTATATATGAAAAAAAATGAGAAGACAAAATTTGATAATATACACCCAACTAAAAATGATTTTTAATAACTTATTTGGTTGGACTGTAATTATGAATGTGGACAGAGAAATTTAATCCCAAAAATCTAAAACTGGGCATGGGCTATTGTGACTTTAGCATGCATTACCAAGTCACACATGAAATTTGTTCACTAATTATCCACAAGGAATCACGCAACATTTTCAAGTACTTGATTAAGGGTTGTAACTCTCAACCTCCTACCTTACCCAACCACTAATTAAAAACTTGGAGGGGACTCAACATACCTCAAAATCTATTCTAAGAGACACACATACTCAAGGAGAGTTTTTCAAATAGTGGCCTATTCGAGCACCACTTTAAGCTACCCTATGTGGGATCTTCAATTTTCAAAATAATTATCTCTCCTCAAATCCTAAGTTAGCCACAATTCCGTGATGCCACACCGCATTCTCAACATCTACACATCACCATGCATCTATTATATACATCAAATCTAGTCAATGCATATAGAGATCTACAATATCAATCATGTATAGTATACAAATGCTTAACACCTCAACCAAGAATAGCATAACAATGCTTATTATCATTTCAACTATACAAAGATAGCATATCGATGTTTATTATCATCATCCTACGTCATACAACATGCAATAGACACAAGTATTATATTCATGTTCACCAAATCCATCCATCATACAACATGTATCAACATACAACTTATCAAAATCATTTATTGTATAGTGACAACCTTCACATAAAACAACACATAGGAAGTTCTACTATGCCTATCATACTCATCATTGTCTCATATGAAAAATGAGAAGATTTTCATGAAGAACTCGGGTTCTAATTTCATCATCTACAATGTTGAAAATTGTAAAACTCCCAACAATTTCCTAAATGTTAGTAGCTTGACCTTTACTCACTAAAAAGGTCATAACTAGAGTGCTATAGACCTCTATTTTAGGTGATTCAAGAGCTACTGGAAAGTTAATATCTAAGACTACAACTTTCATGAAGACCTCAAGACCAAATTCGATCATTTACCTCCATCGTTGTAGTGCTCAATTCAACGTTCTAGCATCGGGTCTCAGTCAGTCCAATTTTATCTACAAATACAACACTCAACCATGGTTGTGACGTTGAGTCTTGGCCATCCTAGTTTTTCCCACGGTTGTAGTGCTCAACCATGACTGTGGCACTGAGTCTCAACCACCCTAGTTTTTCTCACGACTACAGTGTTGAGTCTCAGTCATCCCATTTTCTCCCATGGTTGTAGCGCTCAACCACGGTTGTGACACTGAGTGCATAATTTTTGGCATTTTCATGGCTTTTTGTAACGTAGCAAGTTGTTTTAGAAAGTCCAATATAGGTGATTTAGTAGCCCAGAACGGGTTGTTCCCAATCTGGAACGGGCCGTTCCAAGCTATTAAATTGACCTGTAAATCGTGGTTGAGAACAGGCCGTTCTGGAGGGAGAACGGGTCGTTCCAAACCCCAAAACGAGTCGTTCTGGATGGAGAACGGGTCGTTCTGGATGGAGGACGAGCCGTTCTGGATGGAGAACGGGCCGTTTTGGATGATTCCCAAAATGGACTGTTTTGATTTCAGAACGGGCCGTTCTGCATGTAATTTTTACACATGATGAAAGGATGCAGAACGGGCCGTTCCGGATTCGGAACAGGCCGTTCTGGCCACTCCTGAACTTCTATAAATAGAGTTGGGTGGTTGAGGAGAAGAGGAGTTTTTTAGAGAGAAGTTTTAGAGAGAAGGACTCTGGACTAAGAAGCTTGCTTTGGGTGGATTGAAGTTCCGGGTTGAGCTTCGGAAAGGGAATCTCGCTTCTTGGCTATTCTGAGTCAATCTTCAGGTAAGGGAAGCTAGATTGTAAAGTTGTTGGTTGTATGTGAGTTGGGAACTCCTTTGGGTACTTAGGTTGATTAGTATGAGTTATGTTAGGTGATGAAAATATTGTGTGTTGCTAATATATGATTAAATATTTATTAATGATGTTGTTGGAGATGCATGTTGTAGTTAAGTTGTGAAGTTGTTTACAAGTTGTGTTGATCTATGATATTGTTGAAGCTAGTTGAAATTAAGTTGATAAAGTTGTTATATATTATGTGTGGACATGTATATGTTGAGAAGTGCATGATGATAATATTGTTAAGTTGTTTGAAAAGAGTTGCATAGTTGTATAATTGAATAAGAAATAGTATAATTACATGGAGATGCATGTTGAGTATAGAGTTGTATGTTGCTATAAGTTGTATGTTGTGCCATGTGTTGAAAATATATTATTTTATGATGATTGAGTTGTAAATTATGAGTTGAGCTAATAAGATGTTGAGTTGATTGTGCGGTTTAAAGTTGAAATGAGATGTTGTGTTGTTAAAATGTGTTGTTAAACAATTTGTGATGAGTTGTTGTGCTGATAAACTACGTTGTTCAAGTTGAATGTTGATTTAGATGATGATTTGAAAAGTTGTATGTTGTTTAAGTTGTTAAGTTGATTAAGTTGTGATGATGAGTTGTGATCACTAGGATTAGGAGAGATGTTTTTGAAGTTGCTCATTCCATTGTATGGATTGAGATAGTTGTGGTGCTCTGAGAGCCCAATTTGTTGAAAATCCCTCCTTGGGAAGTTGTCCCTTGGAGTAGACGTTGTGTTGTTCTCCTCTAGGACTTAGTTGATCCCGTGTGTGGGCAAGGTCGAGGCACACGTGTACAAAGCGACCACAGTATAAGGGCCAGGCTGAGCTATACCGATTACAAGCAGCCAGATGTTTATTATTGTAAAGTTGTTATGGTGTCTATTGTTGTAAAGTTGGAAAGTTAGGGACATATGGTGAAGATATATGTCCAATGTTGAGATACATAGTACTAAGGTGATAAGTTGAAAGTTGTTTTAAAGTTAGAAGTTGTTTTAAAGTTGAATCCCTTAGTACTGTGTGGGCGACATGGAAATAGTCGATCCATGTCATGGTTGAATGACCAATTTGAGTAAGGTATCTAGTTAGAGATGTAGTCTTTGACTAGGTACTGGAGGGTGCGTGGTACTTGGAGGACAGTGGGTGGGCTAACTCCATATGTGGATTGGTGATGCTAGCCAAGGCCGTGGTAGGCTCATACCCAAACCCTTCTGTCCTGACAGTAGTACTGGACCTCCGAGTCTAAGTGACACACCTGAAAAATTGCCTATTGTTGTTGTCTATACCTGGTTCTCTTTAGAGTTCCTAACATTGTTCTATACCTGACCTGGTTGAGATAGGTCAAACGTCGGATTCGGTAGGGTTTATGTCACCTAGACTGCTCAACCTCAGTTGTTGGAGATCTCCGTGTTGAAATGCGTGACGATGCATAAGTTGTTGATGAGTTGATTTGTTGTTGATATGTGTTGTATATTTGTTGTTATGTTGTTAAGATGTGATTGTGTTGTATGTTGATCTTGTTGAGGATAATGATAGTGTTGTTATGTTGTAAGTTGAAGATGTTAAGAAGTATAGTATATATGTTGTTTGTCTCATGTGTCGAATGCGAAGATGATTATATAGTTGTTATGTTGCATATTAAATTATTATGAGTTGTTTATTGTCTCTAGCTTACCCTTGCATGTTTCCATGTGGTTTGGGCTGCGATGATCATACGTTGTATGGGAGCAGGGCAGGGATAGACTGGAGATAGCTGCTAGAGGTCACAGGAGGTGCCTGGAGATAAATTTTTTTTGTAGGCTATCTTATAGTAGCATATTTTGTTGTATATAATTGGTTGTCGTTGGTTGCTTGATTAGAAACTTGTGTTGTAAATATTTTATTATACTATTTTAGTATATATATTTTAGTAGTATGTAGTGTTGTTCGTAGTGTGACGGTCATGGCAGGTCGTTACACTTTCCCTTCGTTCTTTACCCATACTTCACCAATTTTTCTCTTAAACACCATCTACAACTACAACTCATTATGTCTATTACATTCATTTATGCACTCAAAAATCACAAGAAAAGCAACATGCATGAACCATAACTCACAGAAATCATCAACATTTTAACATTTCATCAAGAACATCAAAAATCTCAATTTTAACATGCAACCCACTTCGAATCTAACCCCATAGCTACAAATTTTAGAAATTTTACCAACTTTAAGTTCTCAATTCATTCAACAATCCAACATTTCAACCAAAACTCAAGATTTTAGTTTCCCTTACCTCGGAACGAAGTGAAATCCAGGAAGAACTCCGAGGTAAAAGAAGAGAACGTTGAACTACTCCAACAATCCAAGCTCTGCAACTATACCACAAGATTCTCAGTTCCAAGTCTCAGATAAAAAGAAAACATAATCTTCGAGCATGAATCTTTCCTTAAGAATTTGAGAAGAAGAAAAAGAAAAGTTTAAGTTCTTAAAGTTCTTCTCCCCTCCAAATCATATCTTACAAATATCTACAAATATTAAAAAATATATATAAATAACCATTTAATAGATATTCATAAAGATATAAAAATAAACTTCAAATAAATATTTATCAAACATAGTAAAATGCGACAAGATACTAGCGTATCCTTCCCATTCACATGGCTACATATATCCCTTCTAATTATACATGCATGACTGAATGAAATCCACATCTTTATCTCTTTCTCTAGTTACACTAAGAGCATCTGCAATGGGGGTTGCTTATAAGCAACTCCGTGTGCTACATCATTGTCAAATCAGCTCTGGCCCACTTTATGAGTTGCTTAAATTTTAGCAGAGTTGCTTCTACAAGCAACTCTGCTAAAATTTAAGCAACTCATAAAGTGGGCCAGAACTGATATAATAGTGATGTGACATAAGGAGTTGCTTAGAAGCAATATCCATTAGAAATGCTCTAAGTTATATTTTACTTGGTCCAGTTTCTGGGAAATTTGAAAGAATATTCCATCAGTATTTCTCTAACTAATAGTTTTGACTTTTGATAGCCAAATTAAAATTAAAAATAAAATTGTCTTCCTTTCTAATTTGATGTTGTTTTAATAGTGTACGTAATAGCATGCGACTTTTACCCGAAAGTGAACAGGGAACCGACGACAAATGACCACGTGTGAATAATTCAAACATGCTACTACTAAAAGACCAAGAAAAGAATCCCTTTATTAAAAAAATATATTATCTTCTTGGTAGAAGATTACAAGAAAGCCCAAAAAACATTAGTTAATTCTTCTTTTTTATTTAAAGACGCGTGTATAATTAGTTGGGACAATTGACAAATTGCATATGATTCTCAGCTTACATGATCCGTTCAAATTTTATGGTAATAAGTAAATCCATCAGTATCTTGTCAATATATATATAAGGATTTTCGTAGAAGTATTCTAAAAACATTCATTAAAGCATAAATAGTGAAACGTAAACAAAATGATTTATGAAACTAAAAGGCAATGTTATTAGTGAAATAATTTTGAAGAAACAAAAAAGTTACTACTTTGGTGGAAATTCATCAAATCGGGCTAAGAGTTTTCTTAAAATACGGTGTTCTTCTTATAAAGTTACTACAATAGTGCGATGAAGAAGTCCAACATGCAACAAAGTAAACGCTACCAACAGTAACTTCCACGTCCTTTCAAAAAAATTAAGGTGATTTTGATGGTATGAGTATTAACATGATTTCAGTTGTGCGTGTTTGAATTGTAGTTTACGTTTAGTTGAATTTAACTTTGAAAATAAATTTAATTAATAATAAATTTAGTGTAACTTAATTTGTGTTTAGTTACTTTCATTCTTTTTATCAAAATAAAATTTGTTTAGATAATTTTAATTAAAATCACATTAAATATAAGTTTAAATATGTTTTTAATCCCTCAAATTTAGAATAAATTTATTTTTGGTCCCTCAAAATTAAAATTGTTGCTTTTAATCCTTGTAATTTAAAAAAAAAATTTATTTTAGTTCCTCAGGTCACTAATAACATATACGAAAGTGACTGATTGAGATAACTATGTAACATCAATTAAGTTTAATGTGATATTTTCACTAACAAAGACATCGGTAAATAGATTTAATGTGACAATATTTGATAGATTTTCTAACAAAATTTTGGTATAAAGACTAAAATAATATTTTTTTTAAAATTATAGGAACTAAAAATATCAGTTTTAAATTTGAGAGACTAAAAACTAAATTACTTTAAATTTAAGGGACTAAAAATATATTTAAATCTTAAATATATAATTATTAAGACGAGTATGAATTTTATAATGTAATACAAAAATCAATGTGATAAAATCTAACAAAATTTAATTTGGATTTCTATTATTAGTTCTCAAAAAATTTTATTGGCGAGCCACGACAATTGCACCTATTAAAGCAACTAAAAGAAATATGGAAATAAGTTCAAATGGAAGAAAAAAATTTGTTGATAAATAATATTTTTCATTATTTTTTAAATATATTTAAATAAATTGTATGTTACTAGTATTATTATCATTACATTTTTTTTATAAGAATATGATGCTAATACTATAAATTAAAATTAGTAAATATGAAAAAGAAATATACATAAAAATATAACTTTAATTAACCAAGATGCAATAAAAATTCTACTGATCACGGATTGCTACCCGTTATTATTTTAAAAAAATTGTATTTAAAATAATACCTTATTTATTGAAAATATTGGCCGTGCATTGAATTAATGTGTATTTTAATTTAAATACGAATTATGCGGTTAATGTTTTCAATTCACCTTCAATGTAAAAACTTCAATCTAAAGCTTTAGATTCAACACGAGTCTAATATACCATTCAATGAAAAGTAAGTGAACCAAACACACTCTATGTTTCCAAATTAAGACCAAACATGTTATTTATATGTTTGGAAATACATTTAAATCATGTTTAATACATAAGCACACAAAAAAATTATGGATGAATTGATGTTAGTTGAACTGAGCAAATTTTCAGACACACTTTATATAGTTATCCTTTTCTTATGTCATATTTATTGGTTGAAGTTACGTTTCATTCGTAAAAAGATTCTAGAGAAAATATTTACTTATATAAAAACATGAAAATAATTAATAATAATCACTCAATTAAAATTTAAAATATGAATAATTATAATTAAAATCTTATTATGAAATTATCAATTTTATTGTCATTATTTCATAATTATCAAGGTGTCACAATGCTTATCACAATCACCGTCTTATTAGTAATAGTGTGATAATATTGATAAACATTATCATCATTGCCACTGATAATCAACTTATATTACACCAATACTATTATTACCATCATTGATAATCAATTTATATTACATTGTCATTATTGTCGATAACAATGATAATAGTAAGAATAGTTCATAAGCATTATCATTGAACCCTCAATAAAAGAAAGGTTTTAATATTGTAGTTGATGTATATTTATATTCATTATTTAAAATCCATGTCAATTTTTAAGTTTTTATAACTGAACTTCATTTTTTTTTCAGTATCTCTCTCACGCTCGTTTCACTTCCCGGTTTTTCACTTTTTTTTTTTTTTTTTTTTTTTTTTTTTT